GCCACCACGCCCGGCTAATTTCTTGCATTTTTAGTAGAGACTAGTTTCATCATGTTGACCAGGCTGGTCTCAAACTCCTGACTTCAGGTGATCCACCTGCCTCGGCCTCCCAAAGTGCAGAGATTACAGGTGTGAGCCACCGCACCTGGTCAAATATTGGCTTTCCAGACACTATCATCTGAAACAGTGGGTTTTGGGGGACAAAATCCAACAGATTAATGATTTTAAAAAAATAAAAACCTCAGCAAACTTGGAATAGAGAGGTACTTCCTCAACTTGGTAAATAATATCTACAAAAATCTACAGCTAACATCATACTTAAGGGTGAGAAACTAGAGGCTTTCCCATTAAGGTTGGGAACAAGGCAGTATGGCCCTTTCATGACTCCTCTTCAACATTATTTTGAAAATCTAACCAATGCAATAAGACAAGAAAGGAAATAACATGTATACAGATTGGGAAGGTAGAAAAACCGTCTTTGTTCACAGACGACATAATTATCTACACAGAAAATCCTAAGGAATCATCAAAAAAAGTCTTGGAACTATTAAGCAATTACAGCAAGGTTGCAGGATATAAGGTTAGCAAACAACCTTAAACAAGCCAAGTTTTTTCTATATATTAGTAATTAATACTCATGTTCTATCAATAGAGTATATATTAATACTCATGATCTATCAGAAAATAAATATATTTATATATATTTATAAAATAGCATATATATATATAGCAGTTTTTAAAAAAATAATTGCCAAACATGGGAACAAACAAGATATCCTTCAATAAGTGAATGGATACACAAACTGGTGGTACATCCATACAGTGGAATATTATTAAATAGTGATGAAAGGAAATGGGGTATCAAACCAGAAAAAGACAAGGAAAAACCTTAAATGTATATTGCAAAGTGAAAGAGGTCGGTCAGAAAAGGATCATACCCTGTAATTCCAACTATAGTGTCTTGTGGAAAAGGCAAAACTATAGAAACAGTAAAAATATCAGTGGTTGTGAAAGGTTTGGGGGCAGCTGGGGAAATGAAAAAACAGGTGAAGCACAGGGCATTTTTAAGAAAGTGAAACTATTCTGTATGATACTATAGGTATACACATGACATTATGCATTTGTCAAAACCCATAGACCTGTATAACACAAAGAGCAGATCCCATAAACCATAGGTTTTAGTTAACAATGTATCAGTATTGGTTCCTCAATTGTAACAAATAAATTACAGTAATACAAGATGTTAATAATAGAGGAAACTGTGTGGTGGGGAAAGGTGTATGGCAGTGGTCCCCAACCTTTTTGGCACCAGGAACCAGTTTCGTGGAAGACAAGTTTTCCACAGACTTGTGGATGTGGGGGATGGTTTTGGGATGAAACTGTTCCACCTCAGATTATCAGGCATTAGATTCTCATAAGGAGCATGCAACCTAGATCCCTCGTATGCTCAGTTCACAATAAGGTTCAAGCTCCTACGAGAATCCGATGCTGCTGCTGATCTAACAGGAGGTAGAGCTCAGGCAGTAATTTGAGTGATAGGGAGTGGCTGCAAATACAGATGAAACTTCACTTGCTTGCCAGCCCACTGGCTCACCTACTGCTGTGTGGCCTGGTTCCTAACAGGCCAGGGACAAGTACCGGTTTTTGGCCCAGGGACTAGGGACCCTTGGTGAATTGGAACCCTCTGTCTTTTCTGCTCACTTTTTCTGTAAACCTAAAACTACACTAAACAATAAAGCCTATTATTATTATCATTATTTTTGTTTTTGAGACAGGGTCTCGCTCTGTTTCCCAGGCTAAAGTGCAGTGGTGCAATAATAGTTCACTGTGACCTTGAGCTTCTGAGCTCAAGCAATCCTCCATCCTTAGCCTCCCAAGGAGCTAGGAAAACAGGCACATGCTACCACACCCAGTTAATTTATTTATCTTTTGTTTATTTATGTGTTTTTTAGAAACGGGGTCTTGCTAGGTCTGGTCTTGAACCCATGGTCTCAAGCAATCCTCCTGCCTTGGCCTCCCAAAGCACTGGAAGCATAGGAATGAGCCACTGTGCCCAGCTCTAATAATTTTTTGTTTTGTTTTGTTTTGTTTTGTTTTGTAAGCATTCTTAGTCCTTTATAAATTTCCCTTCTCTTTCCATTCAACCACGGGCACCAGCAACCCACCTGGATAAAGTGAAGATCTCATTTAACTTGCAGCACAATTACAGTATACCTTTAAATTTCTCTTTTCACATACTTATAATTAATATGTATTAAATGTGAACAAGTGAACATATAACTGTTTTCTATAGTTAATGGCATCAAAACCTACCCAGTCACTCAAGTAAAAAACCAATAACTACACAGAAAAATGTTGCAAGATCTCATTTATAGAGATAGAGATGGGAGGAGACGTAGATCAAAGGATACAAAGTAGCCAATATACAGTTGGAATAAGTCAAAAGATCCAATGTACTCTACATACACTATGAGGACTATAGTTAATAACAATGTATTGTATTCAAAGTTTTTGCTAAACTAGTAAATTATAGCTGCTCTTGCCACAGGGAGTTAAAAATGTAAAAACGGTAACTACATGAGATAAAGAATATGTTAATTTTTTCCACAATAGTAATCATTTTACTATATATATTTATATCTTATAACATCATGTTATATACCTTAAATACACATGAAATATATTAAAACAAAACAAAAGGAAATCCAAGAGTTATCTTTCATTCCTTCTTCCTCCATAATAACCTACCACACTCTTGATTGTACTTCTAAAATTTCTCTCAGATTTGTCCTTTTTCATCTCAAACGTTATTGCCATTCTGAGCAATCTTTTAAAACATCAAAGATCTATACCATATTTTGTCTTCATTTTGCTTGACTTCTCTCTACAAATTCTTTTTATAAATACTCCTTGCTATTCATTCGAATTTCCTATTACCTCCTGAGAAGCTTGTGTCTCTCATAAGGATTATCCTAACTGTTCCTCTTCTCTCCCACCTCCAATCTATCTTCCATACTATAGCCAGGATTATATATTCATAAATTGCAGATCTGGCTGTTTTACATATACTTAATTTTAGGGCATTTAAGAGAATTTTTTTTTTTTTTTTTTGAGACAAGGTCTCACTTTGCCACCCAGTTTGGAGTGCGTGCTGCAATCCTAGCTCACTGCAGCCCCTATCTCCTGGGCTCAAGCGATCCTCTCGCTTCAGCCTCCTGAGTAGCTGAGACTAACAGTCCTGTGCCACCACACCTAATTTTTGCATTTTTTGTAGAGATGTGTTGCCCAGGCTGGACTCAAACTCCTAGGCTCAAGTGATCAGCCCGCCTTGGCTTCGCAAAATGCTGGAATTACAGGCATGAGTCATAATTTGAATCTCTTTTGACATTCAGCAGAATCTGCTATCTGGGTTGCTTTTCAGAGGCTTCCAAATTAACTAAATGCTGCAAATGAGTTTCTTAATCTGGTTTTCCCAAGGAATATGAGGACAGGTCTAGACACCAACAGAAAAGTATCCTGTAACCTGTAATTCCTTCTTTTCCTCTCTCCCTCAACCTCTACTAGTGAATGTAGTGTTATTCTACTATGAATGCAGTTATTAGAAAAACAGTGATATGGGTTAATTCCCTAGGATTGATGTCCCTGTTTGAGTTAAATCACCAAGCAAACATGAACATAATTCTAAAGTTCCAAGTTTTAAACTCCCATAAACTTGGAGAAATGATATAGATTAATTCCCAAAGCATTCGTCAGATCATTAATTCAGTACCCTTCTGAGGCAGGCAGACAATCATTCCTTAATACTTATCCTAGCTGCTTCAGAAATGAATTCATTATAGCACAGAGATTGCAAGTGCTTGTAGTGACGGATTTTATTCAGCAATGGGTACTGCTTGACACCCTTTCACCTGTTTTTCCCCAATGAAGATCAAACTGCTTTCAAATATGGAAGTGTTTTCAATTTATTATCTAGGGACAGGAACAGCGTGAACAACCAAGGTACATGGGGCACGAAATTTAATGAGGCACTTACTCATCCATTCTGTATCTGCATTACCCTGAAAGTGCCTATTTATATTTTGTGCCCTCAGTATCTAACTCAACCTCTCCCTAGTTCTAGCTCTGACATTATTCCAGTATATTTGTGAATGTTCAAAGGAAAATTGATCTTCATTCTCTCTTATTTCAACTAGTAAAAGAATATTATTCAGAAGGGGCACTTTGTTTTTTTTTTTGAGACAGAGTCTCGCTCTGCTACCCAGGCTGGAGTGCAGTGGTGCGATCTTGGCTCACTGCAAGCTCCGCCTCCCGGGTTCACGCCATTCTCCTGCCTCAGCCTCCCGAGTAGCTGGGACTACAGGTACCCGCCACCACGTCCAGTTAATTTTTTGTATTTTTAGTAGAGACAGGGTTTCACCGTGTTAGCCAGGATGGTCTCGACCTCCTGACCTCATGATCCGCCCGCTTCAGCCTCCCAAAGTGCTGGGATTACAGGCGTGAGCCACCGCGCCCAGCCTAGAAGGGGCACTTTTTATACTTTGGTTCAAAGGGCTTAAGAAAGCATTTAGTTCTACATGTTAATACTCCATCAATTACATTCAATAAGAATACCAAAATAAATATCCAAGTGTGTATATGATGTTAGAGGATGTAAGGGAAGACATCATTTCTCACATGGAATTTTGTATATTTAAATGGACTTCATTTATTAAAATAACAATTGCTTAAGCAATTAAATCTAGAAGGAAAAGAAAAACCTTCCAGGCTAAACTAATTTAAATAAACAACCTTATCTGCTTAACTGGGGTTTTCTCTTTACTTTTTAAATACTAACCCCAAAGGAAAAACAAAACAGAACTCTAAGTTCTGTTAGAGGTCAGAATGCTTACAAAACACAAAGGTAATTAAAACAAATCTTAGAATTTTTACTTCTGAAGTAAAAGCACAAATAAAAAGATAGGAAATCTCATTTTTGCTTATTAAAATAAAATTATTCTTACCAGGTAAAGCAGAAAGGTGTGCAGCCCTGTTCCAAGCCCAACAGAAGACAAAATTCCTAAGCCTATCCAGTAGGCATACAAAAGAAACTGTTTCTCTATACGTTGCACATACTGAAAAAAAGGGATGAGGTGAAAAACGTGAATTCTCTATACAGAAATGCGGTATTTATAAACTATCATCAAAATTAAATAAACCAACTAAAATAAGTTTCAAATAGGAAAAAACAAATACAATTAAAAACCCTCAGGCCTAATTTGTTTAATATACAATGGCAAAGATGACAAAAAGATTCATCTAACTGGAATAAAGGTCTTATTTCTAAACCTTTAATAAAAGCTTTGTCTCTAAACCTTTAAAGTCCTACTATTTACAGGACACAGGAAAAAGCAAATTATGAATAAGATAATTTGAGGATATTTTAGATATATTTAAAATAAACGCTTTTAGAACTATAAAAACTTCTCTGTGATTGGCAGTAAACTGTTTTCAAATACCATTCTAGAGCCATTTCTGTGACTGGCAGTAAACTGCTTTAAAATACCATCCTAGAACCATTTCCTGTTAAAATACATTAATGTTTTGCTATTTTAACAAAAGAGGTTAACAAAGCATTCCATTTTCCCATCAATAATGTTGTACTTGTAGATTACAGGCAAATGAACCTGTCTTTTTATACAAATAAAATGTAATCATCAACTTTGGATGAGAGGCCTCCCTATTTGGATGGGTCACAAAAATATGTTAGAGAAAATAAGAAAACTTTGGCAGTGATTAACGGATTCATGCTGCTGTAACGGAAAACCTTCAGGAAAGTTACATTTAAGTCTTTGAAGGTAGGGCCAGGCAGAGTGGCCTGTAATCCCAGCATTTTTGGAGGCCAAGGCAGGCAGATCACCTGAGGTCAGGAGTTTGAGACCAGCCTGGCCTACATGGTGAAACCCCATCTCTACGAAAGTACAAAAAAAATTAGCTGGGTGTGGTGGCGGGCGCCTGTAATCCCAGCTACTTGGGAGGCTATGGCAGGAGAATCGCTTGAACCCAGGAGGCAGAGGTTGCAGTGAGCTTATATCGCGCCTCTGCGCTCCAGCCTGGGTGACAGAGCGAGACTCTGTCTTAAAAAAAAAAAAAAAATCTTTGAAGGTAAAAGGAATCACATACACCAAATATAAATGCTCAGCAGCCATAAAACATCACAAGAATATTTTTAAAAGTAAAACGTTTGAGATACTAGTTACGAGATAATGTTGAGGGTAGAAACTCTATAAAACCCACATTCATCCCATTTGAAACTGGGATTAGAGAATTAGAATGTACAAGACTAGAAACAGAACTGCTTGACCTCTCACCTGTTGATGCGCTCCTTCAACATAATACGTAGCTATAAGCACAGCAAGCAGCAGTAAAAAAGACACCACAATGCTTTGACGATGCCATAATCTTAAAAACAAATAAAAAAAAGAAGTATCTCACAGTCTCACTTTCAGCATTCATCATTCTCAAAACAATTTCTTGCTGAAGCAGTTAGGTTACCTAGCTCAGCCTGGCTGAGCTCTTTTCCTTAAACATCATGGCCTCTTGAGGAACAGAAGGGGGTCAAGGGAAGACACATAGGCAGAGAACCCAAGTTCTTGTCATAAACCCATTGTAGCCTTTTCCTTACCCAAAGCCTGATCTTACTAAACCTCAACTTATAATATGGAGAAGCATTATAGTATAATAGAAAGAGCACTGGCCTTCAAGTCAGAGGACCTGGGTCAGAGACCCTTCATGTTGCACTTTGGGCCAGACACTTAACCAATCTGATTGTTTCTTGTTTTTAAAATCTTTATTTACTTATTTTTATTTATTTTTTTGAGACAGAGTCTCACTCTGTTGCCCAGGCTGGAGTGCAGTGGTGTGACCTCAGCTCACTGCAAGCTCTGCCTCCTGGGTTCAAGCTATTCTCCTACCTCAGCCTCCCAAGTTGCTAGAACTACAGGTACGCACCACCATGCCCAGATAATTTTTGTATTTTTAGTAGAGACGGGGTTTCACTATGCTGGCTAGGCTGGTCTCGAACTCCTGTCTTAGTGATCCACCTGCTTTGGCCCCTCAAAGTGCTAGGATTACAGCCGTGAGACACCACGCCCGGCCTTTGTTTCTTTTTTTCAGAGACAGGGTCTTGCTCTGTCACCCAGGCTGGAGTGCAGTGGCGTGATCTTGGCTCACTTCAACCTCCTGGGTTCAAATGATTCTCCTGCCTCAGCCTCCTGAGTAGCTGGGATTACAGGCGTGCACTACCACGATGGGCTAACTTTTTTTCTTTTTTTTTTTTTTGAGACAGTCTCGCTCTGTTGCCCAGGCTGGAGTGCAGTGGTGCGATCTCAGTTCACTGCCACCTCTGCCTCCCACATTCAAGTGATCCTCCTGCCTCAGCCTCCTGAGTAGCTGGGACTACAGGCACATGCCACCATGCCTGGCTAATTTTTGTATTTTTAGTAGAGATGGGATTTCACCATGTTGGCCAGGCTGGTCTCGAACTACTGACCTCAGGTGATCCACCCACCTCGGCCTCCCAAAGTGCTGGGATTACAGGCATGAGCCACCACTCCTGGCCTAAAATGTTTATAATGATATACTTGTTTTACCTTCTTTATGGAGTTGCCCTAAGGATCAAAATCAGCTGAAAATGTTACAAAATACTTTATAAACTCTTAGTACAATAAAAATGTTAAGATAATAGTACAGATAATAACTTGGAAGGGCAAGCAAGAAGATAAGGCATGTAAAAGTTCAACTTGTTCTTTATGGTACTTGGAACAGGGCTTACAAGTGCTAAATTTAAAGACAGAACACATTTCCATGGCAGAGTCCTTTTTCATTGGCTCAAACTATCAGTAAAACTGCCACGTATGCTGAACCTTGTCCTGCTAAAGAATCAGTGTATCTAAATTACACAGGCCTGATTTCTCCTGACGGTAAAATCAGGAGAGAAAATAAAAATCGTATTTTTCAGCGCTCTCCATTGCAGATTCAACATGAAAACACAGTAGAAAACTGTGATAATCCAGTAAGCAAACAGCAAATAGCAATGTCTTTCCCTAATCTATTTTTCTTCAACATAAAGAAGGAAGAATAAATATATTCCTATGGTAATATTCTAAAGGTAATTAATCTATTTTGATGCAGTAGAGGGCAGAAAGTAAAAGATTACTGATGATTTTTTAAATGAGTAAATGAGGTGTATGCAAAAGGCAGTGGGAGAAGACCCTTTACTTTGAGGTCCATTCCTTCAAGATTACAAGGATTTCCAGAGAAAAATACTGCAAGGTAATCAGTGGCTGTCTCCACAGGACAATATTCTGCCTTTCTTCCCGCTCCCGCCTCTTCTTTTCGTTCACTGAAGAGGGGTCTGAAAAGCAATAGTGCAGAGATTAAAACAGAATTTCTAACATTTATGCTTATTCTCTTCAATCACTTTAGATGAAAAGAGTTTTGTTTATTTCCCAAATAACAACTAACAGCAAGCCCTAGAGTCTTATGAAATGGCAACTGGTAGTACCTATAATCTCAGCACTTTGGGAGGCTGAGGAGGGAGGATCACTTGAGGTCAGTAGTTCAAGACCAGCCTGGCTAACATGGTGAAACTCCGTCTCTACTAATAATACAAAAATTAGCAGGGCATGGTGGTATGCGCCTGTAATCCCAGCTACTAGGGAATCTGAAGCACAAGAATCCCTTGAACCTGGGAGGCAGAGGTTGCAGCGAACTGAGAGTGTGCCACTGCAGATCAGCCTGGGTGACAGAATGAGACTCTGGTCTCAAAAAAAAAAAAAAAAAAAAAAAGCCACTAGTCCAAACTCAGCATGGAAAGGAGATAAATGACAGTAGTTCCCCCTTATCTACAGTTTCAGTAACACATGGTCAACTATGGTCTGAAAATATCACATGGAAAATTCTGAAAATAAGCAATTCATAAGTTTTATTGTTTTAAATTTATTTTTATTTTTTTTAAGAGACAGGGTCTCCATTCTTTTGCCCAGGCTGGAATGCAGTGGCATAATCACAGCTCACTTTAATCTCCAACTCCTGGGGTCAAGTGATCCTCCCACCTCAGCCTCCCAAGTAGCTACGACTACAGGTGTGTACCACCACACTCAGCTAATATTTTTGGTTTTTGTGGAGACGCAGTCTCACTACTTTGCCTGGGCTCATCTGAAACTCCTAGCCTCAAATGATCCTCCCACTTTGGCCTCCCAAAGTGCTGGAATTACAGGTGTGAGCTACTGCAGCCAAGCCCCTAAGTTTTACATTGTATCTGTTCTGAGTAGTGTAATAAAATCTCACCAGTCCTGCTCCATCCAGCCCAAGACCTGATAACATCCCTTTATTTAGTACATCCGCGCTGTATATGTTACCCCATTACTATATACAGAACAACACAGTGTTTTTCCTATATCCACTAGGGGTCATGAAATGTATCCCTCATGGATAAGGGGGGCTACTATATTATAGTTGCCATTTCTTAAGGAGTGTTACCTAGAGAATAACTGAGGCAAAACCAACTCCCTGCCTTGATAAACATCAGAACCTTCTGTAGAGGATGTCCTAAAGAAATGGTACTGAAAATTCCAGCAGTTGAATTTGGGATAGAGCTATAGATTTGGGGAAAATTAATGAAATAAGTCTAAACTGGTCCACCTTCTATGAAGGGCATTCTATCAACCTAGGATCATATTACAGAACAAAGTGGTTTAGATCACAAAATGCTGAGGCAAACTAGTTGGTTCTAAACCTGGCTCTGCCTCTACTAGTAATTTGATCTTGGGCAAGTTAGTTAATACTTTTGTGTCTCAGTTTTCTCTTCTGTAAAATGGGGATCACAATAGTACTTGTGTACACAAAGTACACAAAAGTACTGAAAATAGTACTTTTCAGGATCATTGTAAGGATTAAATGAGATCATATATGTAAAGTTCTCAGAAGAGTTTAACACTTAGTAAGTGTCCCATTAAGGTTAGCTATTAATTGTCACCATCCATTGAAATTACAAAATGCTTTTTTTTTATGAGACAGGATCTCATTCTGTTGCCCAGGCTGGGGTGCAGTGGCAGCACGATCTTGGTTCACTGCAACCTCCACCTTCCTGGTTAAAGCCGTTCTCCTGCCTGAGCTTCCCGAGTAGCTGGGATCACAGGCATCTGCCACCACGCCCGGCTAGTTTTTTTGGTATTTTCAGTAGAGATGAGGTTTCACCATGTTGGCCAGGCTGGTTTCAAACTCCTGACCTCAAGTGATCCGCCCATCTTGGTCTCCCAAAGTGCTGGGATTACAGGTGTGAGCCACCATGCCTGGCACAAAATGCATATACACTGTAAATTGGTAATTCCATTTCTAGGAATGATTAGGTATAAGGTGAAATGACTTGTACAACTTTATTCACCGCAGCATTATTTGTACCAGCAAAAAATAATCAATAAGTTATATATTACCAATAGAGGACAGAAGAGTGATTAAAGTATGGCACACTCATTAAATGGAAAGAAAAACTAAGCAGCCATAATAAAGAATATATATATATATATTTTTGAGACAGGGTCTTGCTCTGTCGCCCAGCCTGGAGTGCAGTGGTGTGATCACAGCTCACTGCAGCCTTGTGGGCTCAAGCGATCCTCTCACCTTAGTCTTTCCAGTAGCTAGCTAGAACTTCAGGTGCATACGATCACATCCAGCAAATTTTTAAAATATTTTGTAGAGATGAGGTTTCCCTGTGTTGCCCTGGCTGGTGTCAAACTCCTGGGCTCAAGAGATCCTCCCGCCTTGGCCTCCCAAAGTGTTGGGATTACAGGCGTGAATCACCACGCCCAGCCTAAGAATAAGTTTTTCATGTACAGTTATAGCACAATCTCTAAAATGTTAAGTAAAAAATACATGGTACAAAAGAGTAAGTGTGACCTGCTAATGTTAATTTTAAATTCCAACGGGGTGAGCAGTAGAGGAAGAATATACAAACATATGTGCTCACTAAAAGGAAAGAAAAAAATAGCACACAAAAGCTCCTAATGGGAAGACACTATGATGTATGCAATGCCCATCTCGGAATCCTGAAACTCTTGGTGAAATTGCCAAGTTTACTGATAACCAAAGTAACCCAAAAGGCAGATCAGTGCTGCAAAATGTCGTCCGCAAGGCAATACGGTGATTAAAACAAACAAATGAGGCTGGGTGCAGTAGCTCATGCCTGTAATCCCAGCACTTTGGGAGGCCAAGGCGGGTGGACCACCTGAGGTCAGGAGTTCAAGACCACCCTGGCCAACATGGTGAAACACCATCTCTACTAAAAATACAAAAATTGGCTGGGCGTGGTGGCACATGCCTTTAATTCCAGTTACTCGGGAGGCTGAGGCAGGAGAATTGCTTGAACCTGGGAGGCAGAGGTTGCAGTGAGCCGAGATCGCGCCATTGCACTCCAGCCTGGTGACAGAGCAAGACTGTCTCAAAAAAACAAATAAACAAATGAAAACTACTATTTCAGATAGCTTGCACTTCCTCTAAAAGAGGAGAATTGCTGTGAAAATACTGCCACACTAGAGTATTATTTGCAATGTGTTTGAGATGTCAAACAATTCAAAAGCTAAAAAAACAACAGCATGATTACTAGAAAAGAAAAACTTTTCTTTCATTTTCCTTTAAATGCATGAAGGAAGGTTTCTACTTAAATCATCCATATTAATAAAGGTCATCATTTTCAGGGTAACTGTATAAACAGGATTCAAATACACTGAAATTTACCACAAATTCCAATCTGGCTAAAATACAAGTTTATTCATCTCAAACTATAATTTTAAAATAAATTTTTAAATGATATTCACATTCTAACTTTTTTGATAACGGTATACTTAAGAACAGTGTAGTAAGTTTATAATCTACTTCTAGAATTACAAAATAGCACAATAAAATTGAGCACTGAGCAAAGCCAAATAAACACTGACCATACCATAAGATTAACAAGTAATCTTGCACCTGGAACACTGTTTATGTGATTGTAGCCAGGCTGCTTCTGCCATCACTGTGAAAAATCACCTTACAGGCCCTGACTGACCCATAATTTAATTTACTAAGAAGAAATTAATATAAGATTAAAAATACAAGAAGTAATATATCTCTATTTTATTCCAATGAAAACTATATCATTTAAACCCATAGCACTCCTCCCTCCAAACCATCAAAATTTACCTGTGAAATTTCCATTATGTTGTTCCTTGTTCATTGCTACACGTCTCTGGTCACAATTTTTTCCATTCTCTGCCATTTCATAGATCAGTAACTCTTGAGGAGCTAATACAGCAAAATAAAATCCAGCAATACGTTACAAACTTCTGCTGTGTAGCCATGACTGAATAAAACTGAATACAGGAATAACATCACAGTAATAACCCACATGATATGTATGATGTGTTTACACTTTTTTTCTTTTATAACCAAACTTTGAACAATTTATATAGATATTCCAATACAAATAGTAAAAATATAAAAGCCATATAGTTGTAAAACTTTTCCTAGTAGTTATTTCAGGGATTTTCCAGATTGAAATTTGGAGGTAATTTGTCCACAGAAGGAGGATATCAAGCACTAGCACCTCCAAATGTTAACACACTAGAAGGTCTAACATCTTTCTAATTTACAATTTAATATCATACTACTATGTACTCAGAATTAATCTTATCATTTTTACCTTTTTACCATTTTCTTTCATATTTCCTTTAACATTATTATATATAAATAGAATATACTACGAAAGATGCTGCAAATGTTGATACATAAATCTAAGATCACAGACCAGTTTTATTTAGGAAACAATTCTACTGAATAAAATGATATGGGCAAAAAAAAATTTTTTTTTGAAATGTTTAAGATAGTTAAATGTACTTTATTTATAACATGCTTCATACTACAGATATCAGTGCTTCTACTTTAAATCACTGTAATACAACACATAAAAACCAGATTGCCTATGATTGTATCATTCTGCAGGTGTTAGTAAAGCAAAACTTTCACTCAAAAAGTACATCACTTCAATAAAAGGCTAAAATGCTCAATAAAAGGCTAAAATGCTGAGTCCTTAACACAGTATTAAAACTTGCCCAGGCCGGGCGTGGTGGCTCAAGCCTGTAATCCCAGCACTTTGGGAGGCCGAGACGGGCGGATCACGAGGTCAGGAGATCGAGACCATCCTGGCTAATATGGTGAAACCCCGTCTCTACTAAAAATACAAAAAACTAGCCGGGCGAGGTGGTGGGTGCCTGTAGTCCCAGCTACTCGGGAGGCTGAGGCAGGAGAATGGCGTAAACCCGGGAGGCGGAGCTTGCAGTGAGCTGAGATCCGGCCACTGCACTCCAGCCTGGGCGACAAAGCGAGACTCCTCCGTCTCAAAAAAAAAAAAAAAAAAAAAACTTGCCCAGACACTTATAAAAAGACAACTGGGGCCAGGTGCGGTGGCTCATGCCTATAATCCTAGCGTTTTGGGAGACCAAGGTGGGGTGATCACTTGAGGTCAGGAGTTTGAGGCCAGTCTGGGCTACACAGTGAAATCCCATCTCTATATACGATAAATAAAATAGCCAGGAGTGATGACCCATGCCTGTAGTTCTAGTTGCTCAGGAGGCTGAGGTGGGAGGATTGCTTGGGCTCAGGGGTTCAAGGCTACAGTGAGGTATGACTGTGCCACTGCATTACAGCCTGGGCAAGAGGGAGACCCTGCTTAAAAAAAAAAAAAAAAGAAAAAAGAAAGTGAAAATAAATACAACCCACAGGGGAAAGTATTCACAAATCACATACATTTCATAAAATGCATGTACCTGGACTGCAAACTCTTACAACTCAGTAATAAAAAGCAAATAATCCAATTAATAAACAGAGAGGAGCTGCGCAGGTATTTCTCCAAAGATAAAACAAATTGTTAATAAGTACATAAAAAGATGTCTAACATCTTCAGCCATCAAGGAAATGCAAATTAAACCACAATGAGATACAATCTCATACCTGTTAGCATGGTTATAGTAAAAAAGACAGATAATAGGCTGGGTGCGGTGGCTCATGCCTGTAATCCCAGCACTTTGGGAGGCCAAGGCAGGCGGATCATGAGGTCAGGAGTTCAAGACCAGCCTGCCCAACATGGCGAAACCCTGTCTCTACTAAAAATATAAAAATTAGCCAGGTGTGGTGATGAGGACCTGTAATCCCAGCTACTCGGGAGGCTGAGGCAAGAGAATTGCTTGAACCCCGGAGGTGGAGGTTGCAGTGAGCCGAGATTGTGCCATTGTACTCCAGCCTAGGCGACAACAGCAAGACTCTGTCTCAAAAAAAAAAAAAAAAAAAAAGACAGATAATAATTAATAACAAGAGTTAGTGAGGATGTGGAGAAATCGGAACTGCTGGAAGGAATGCAAGAGTTCAGCTGCTTTGGAAAACAATCTGTCAGCTCCTCCAAAGGTAAAATACAGTTATCATATGACTCAGCAATTCAGGAATGTTCATAGTGACACTGTCAACAGACAAAAGGTGTTTTTTTCTATTTTTATTTTTTTTGAGATGGAGTCTCACTCTGTTGCCCAGGCTGGAGTGCAGTGGCGTGATCTCGGCTCACTGCAACCTCTGCTCCTGAGTTCAAGTGGTTCTCCTGCCTCAGTCTCCCAAGTAACTGGGATTACAGGTGCCCGCCACCATGCCTGGCTAATTTTTGTATTTTTAGTAGAGACAGGGTTTCACCATGTTGGTCAGGATGGTCTTGAACTCCTGACCTTGTGATCCACCTGCCTCAGCCTCCCAAAGTTCTGGGATTACAGGTGTGAGTCACCGCACCCAGCCTATAACCCAAATGTCTTATGAACTGATGAATGGATATAGGAAATATGGTATATAGTATATCCAAACAATGAAATATTAATCAGCCATAAAAAGAAATAAAGTAGTAATACATACTACTGCATCAATGGAGTCTGAAAATATGCTAAGTGAAAGAAGTCAGTCACAAAAGACTACATGTTATGATTCCCATTTATATGAAATTTCCAGAATATGCATATCCATAACAACAGAAAGTAGCAAATTAGCAGGAGAAAGATGGGGAGTAGCTGCCAATGAGTTGTGAGTTTCTTTCTGGGGGGATAATGTTCTAAAATTGTTTTGATAGTTGCATAGATGTGAACATACTTTTTAATTGGGTGAATTATATGATATGTGAATTATGTTTCAATAAAGCTATTTAAGAACAGTTACCAGCAGGAACTATCTGAACTTCCAAATATGTTGTGAATACATATGAATAATATATTCATAGAAAAAGAATGGTATAATGTTCTACAAATCTCATTTATTCATTCATTCATTTAGTTATGTTGCCCAGGCTGGTCTCGAACTCCTGGCCTGAAGTGATCCTCCTGCCTCGGCTTCCCAAAGTGGTAGGATTCCAGGCATAAGCCACTACTCAGGCTTATCTATATTTAATAGAAGACCCAAGAGTATTAGGAGTATTCTCATGGCCAAATGGCAAAAATTTTTATATTTTATGAGCAGATTTAGTGACAGTTTAGAATTCAAAGTCAGATATATGAGTTAGGGGGTTATATTATTAAGAAAGAAAACTCATGAAATCACTTGATAAGGTCTGTTTACCCATTCACTCAAAAAATATTAACTGAACAATCTGTATGTGCCAAGAGTCATGCTAGATTTATATTTAGCTGATCAGAATATGATATGGTTACGGGTTCAATCTTCCTGTAGTTTGATAGCTGGTGCTAATTTATTCCTTGACTAAACTATAATTATTGTAAATATTTTCAAACTTTATGCCTCATAAAGGAAAACAAGTGAAAGACTACAAAAATGACGGAAAAAAAAGCACACATTCATCTGTGTAATATTCTCCTTTTTAAGATACAATCCATTTGTGGATACCTTTGTTTTGTTGTCTTCAATGCTGAATAAGCAAATAAACATATCAAGAAATAAAATAAAGGTTTCTATTAGTATAGATATCCTTAAGTAGACAATCATAAGATTTAAAGTCTGAAAAATCTGGATTTGATCCCAGATTTGCCACTAACTAGCTGTGTGATCTTAAGCAAAGTTTCATTTTCTTTAGGCCTTGATTTTTTGGATTCACAAAATGAGGACAATAATTGCCGCTTTCAAATGATTGATGTGTAGATGAAATAATCTATGTATGTATATGTATGTTTGTTGATATGCATGTATGTGTGACTATAAATGCCAATACATCAAAAGGGTAGGAGGTAATAAACCTACAAAATGCCTAAACTAGAAAAACAACTTCACGGCACATGCCTCATTGTTACCATATCAGTGATGCCAGTGTTGTTCGTTCAGCTCTCATTTTAAAAGTTCTTGGGTCTCCAATGGGCACTGAGGATACAAATATGAATAGGATAAGGAGGTCCCTGTCCTCAAGAGGATCACAGTCTGGTAAAGAAGCCAAATGAACACAAGAAATCAATTATAACAGAATGGGATGAAATAGGCATTTATTTTTTTTTTTTTATTTTTTTTTTTTTTTGAGACGGAGTCTCGCTCTGTCACCCAGGCTGGAGTGCAGTGGCCGGATCTCAGCTCACTGCAAGCTCCGCCTCCCGGGTTTACGCCATTCTCCTGCCTCAGCCTCCCGAGTAGCTGGGACTACAGGCACCCACCACCTCGCCCGGCTAGTTTTTTGTATTTTTAGTAGAGACGGGGTTTCACCATATTAGCCAGGATGGTCTCGATCTCCTGACCTCGTGATCCGCCCGTCTCGGCCTCCCAAAGTGCTGGGATTACAGGCTTGAGCCACCGCGCCCGGCCGAAATAGGCGTTTAAATAAAATTAGATGAAAAGACAATGTTTTAGTCAGGTCTTAAGAGTCTAACAGGGCCAGGCACGATGGCTCACGCCTGTAATCCCAACACTTTGGGAGGCCCAGGTGGGCGGATCACAAGGTCAGGAGATCGAGACCATCCTGGCTAACATGGCAAAACCCCGTCTCTACTAAAAATACAAAAAAATATCCGGGCGCAGTGGTGGGCGCCTGTAGTCCCAACTACTTGGGAGGCTGAGGCAGGAGAATGGCATGAACCCACGAGGCGGAGCTTGCAGTGAGCCGAGATCGCACCACTGCACTCCAGCCTGGACGACAGAGCAAGCAAAAAAAAGAAAAAAGAGTCTAAAAGACTGGAGAAATTTGTAAATCTATCTAAACATCAGTTTTTCTTAGTTTGTAAAACCGAGATAATATGACACACATCAGAGGGTTGAGAATTAAACAAGGTAATGTACATAAAATA